AATAGTGTCTACAGACCAAAAATGAAGGACTTTTATTTTTTGACTGTGGCCGCCCCGTGCTCGATATTTCTGGACAGTCGCTCTTAATTTTTTTTTTTTTTAAAGCTTGTGTCTATGCTTATGACGTAAGGTTTTCACTCCAATTCCAAATCCAATTCTCCGGCCTTAAAGCGTCGATATAACGTGACTTATTCTCTTGTCCATGTTAATCGGCTGGTCAAGGTTAATGGACTACAGCTGTGCAATTGCATTTAGTTAGTGATTATAATTTGTTTGGCTTCTTTTGTTTGTTTTGTGCCAGTGCGATATTTTTCATTAAACTTGACCAGAGCTGTCGTCAGAATTGGAAACATTTATACTCAATGATTGCGAAATCATTGTGAGGTGCAAAAAGTAGTAGTTAATAAAAGTGTACGGTTCCTTTCAAAAGTCGCACAGTTCAGCAAGGACGTCCATTTTGAATGGTTCCAATATCTCGATTAGAGGGCATCTCTTTGGTTTTCTGCCTGCCATTTCAGGATTGTGTTGTTCCCATACGTGACGTCACATAGCAACCTATGGATTGCATAGGAATTCCTGTTTTTGTTGATATCAGTAAAACGCCATATGGCAGTAGGACAATGGAACAAAAGAGAGTCTAAATCGCAGATTGGAACGCTTTTTAATGCTAAATCAGCCTCCTATTTAGTTGTTTTTATGGTCGTGTACAACCTGTTTTGTATTTTCATCTAACCATTTCTCGATATTTGAATTTATCGTTGAACGTCTTGATGATCAGCCGTTTTTGTTTCTTACGATCTGCTGTTTTCTCATGTCAAACCTCATGTCCATCATCTTAAATGAGTCAAATTAGAAGTTAAATGAGTGCTCTTTTCATTTTGAATCGTCGTTGAATGCGCTATAACTTTTTTATTAAAAAACTGAAGAATAAAACGTCTACAAATGCACGCGGCGCCATTATGGAACGTCACGTCATGAATGGAAACAACACTGTTGCAGCGATTTGACTAGAGACGCCCCCTTCATCCTAATTGTGCTGTATGAGCGGAAAGTGGGCATATTATGAAACTCCTTTACATTCATATATTGTTTCTAACTAGGAGTAGTTTTGTATACCGAATACTTTAGGTTTCCGTTTTCAGGATTATTGGAAGTTCTGTAGCAAATGGTGGACGTGATGTACCTTCCTCGACATCTGAAATACAGATAGGTTCACAATTAATTTTTGATGGATTGGTTATAATGATGTAATGGTGATGATGTTTGAAATGATGTTGATGGTTAGGAAGATGATAGGTACTCTGCGTACATGATAGTGGTATGTATAGGTGACAAGAGAAAATGAACTAAGAGAAGGAATCCCCCCTATATRGCCTTGTAACCATCATGTGCACAGTTTGATGCTATTTTTAAACCATTTGTTTTTGTGCACGCGCATTTACTGCGCGCGCTCTACGCTGTTTCCTAACGTTTTGGGGTTTTTTCCGTTATTTCGACTCTGCCCTGGATATGAATGTGCACGTCGAAAGCATGGAAAATACGAAAAGAAATTGAAGTAGTAATTTTTTCTACTTTCTAGAGTATTTTTACATTTATTTTCAAAAGCTTTCGACCTCCATCTTCATCTTGAGGGCAGATTTGGACATTTGAACATAAGAAAAGCACAAGAAAACGTTAGCAAACAGCGTAGAGCGYGCGCGTACTATGCGCGTGCAGAAAATCAAACGATCAAATAAATGATATCATTGGATGATATTTTTAGAATAGATTCTAAGAATAGCATCTAAGTGTGCACATGATGGGGCACGGGGATTCCTTCTCTTAGATCATATTCTCTTGTTGGTGATGATTGTCATGATGATGATGACAATAAATAAAGCAAGATTACTGATAAGGGTGACTAACCTGATTGAATCGAAGCCGTTTTTCTTGTCCGTACACACGCCATCAAGAAACCAAACAATACACAAAGGAGCAAAACAYCGCCACTGACTATCAGAAGAACATGTTGAGAAGTGAGGCTGGTTTCTTGTTTATTGCTGGACGACCAAGAGCCACTTGCTTCGTTAGATTTCTCTTCGGCCTATAGATAATGATGATATACGTATGCATGTCAGAATTTAATCAAAAAATTATTCCTTAAAATTTACGTACTGTAATGATAAAAAGGTAAATTATGCACCGTGAAAAGATAAAAAAAATTTCTGACGTTTCGCACGCTAGTCCTTCGTCGGAGTAAAAGAGCTCCGACGAAGGACTAGCGTCCGAAACGTCAGTAAGTTTTTTCATCTTTTCACGGTGTATAATTTACCTTTTTATCATTACTGTTTAATTAGAAACACCGACGCAGCTCACACTAGTTTTTAGCTAATTATCTCTTCTTTACATACTGTGATTGACGGCAGTGAATTGCCCGATTTCCCTGTCGCAACTGTTATCTCAGTCAGCGCGTACCAATAACAACAGTCATGGCAGTGACTATAAATTTCTGAAATCGGTATTTACATGAAAAAATAGGGTTGATTTTGTTCAACTGTGAAAAGACATGACACGTACGAAAATGACGCCATTCGTCTTTAATTTGAACCAATCAAAGCAAAACTAATCCTCATCTAATACAAATGCTGGGTCACGGCAACGTCACGGTTACGTCGCAACACGACACGTACGTACGTAGCGTAATTCGTCACAGTCATACAGAATATGTGCCAGTACATACCAGGTTAATTTGATACGAATCAATGACCTCTCTTTGTAAGCAGGTTAACATGCTTTTCACACGATCAAAGTCACCAGTTACTAACATCCCAATAGCAAACTGGCGGTCAATGATTTTGACTATTTTTGCGTCTGTATCTGATTTCAGCCATTGCCTTGCCATGTGGTAATCGTGTATCATGAAGTATTCAATAGTTATCCCCTCAGATACACTAGTTAACATTTCGTCGTAGGTCATATCCACTGAACAGTTAATAAACCATAAGTTAAGTTTAATCATAAGACTTGCTTCTTAAAACATATATGAGAGGATAGGATTATGGACGGCTCTTTCTTAGCAAAAAGTACACTAACTAAGCGACACTCAAACATAAGTGTGAGGTTAATGGGAATCAACATATGGACCTCTTTCTTAGCAGGCAGCACACTAACCAAGCCACACTTAAAGCAAGTGTGTGAGGTCAATATACCTCTTGCTTAGCAGGCAGCACACTAACCAAGCCACACTTAAAGTGCGTAGCAGAGTCTTTTCTATCATTACTGTTAAAACAAATGTGTGAGTTCAATTGGAAACAAACTTTGCACCTATTGTTTATCAGGAAGCACACTAACCAACGAAAAACAAGTGTGTGAGATCACTGAGGAAGAAACAAAAAGAACCTATTGCTTAGCAAGTAGCACACTAAACGACCAAGGCAAACTGTTTCGGTGGTCATCAAGAATAAAAACTTTCAAAGTAGGTAAATAGGCAATATTCGACCTGCAACATGCGACGGGGATTTATTTATTTATTACACACTTTTTATGGCATTTATTTCATTTGTCTACCGCAGCTTACCAATATCACGAGCTCCAAGGTTCATTTCTTGCTTGATGAACGTCTTCATTCCTTTCGGCACAGCGACCTTTCCATACGAAGAAATGCAAACAGAAATATTTTGAATTTCATTGTTTACTATTCTGAGATTTTTGGTTACATTCTTAAGTGGGAGAGTACTAAGGTCGAAAACAAAGACTCGTGCGAAGAAAATGATGTAGTGCTTTTCGATTTGATTTTTTCAATTTATGGTTTTCATTATGGGGTACATTATCTTTATCTACTAAAAAAAAAATAACTAAAGATTATTTTCACCTTTAAGTTTTATCTAAATTGGTAGGGCTACCGGTGCCTAGTGGGAGCTTCGCCTTTAGGCAGTGACTAAATTTATTTAGCATAAACCTACTAGCATACTATCACGAATCCTGCAATCTGATTGGCTCACGTACTCACTATCCTGTGTTAGCATAAACCTGCTTGCATACTATCTCGAATCCTGCAGCCTGATTGGCTCACGTACTCACTATCCTGTGTTAGCATAAACCTACTAGCATACTATCACGAATCCTGCAATCTGATTGGCTAACGTACTCTGACAACAAAGTATTTGCAAAAAAAAATATTTCAGCTTTCACTCATTAATTTAAAAAAAATAATGCCAAGAACTGATGATAAGGTAAAAAATTTTGGAAAGAGAGTTTTGACAGTAATAATAGAGACAAAAACCTATAGAAATAGAGCAAGTTTAAGCTTTATTGCGTTATTACTTTGAGACAATTTCGCACATATGAATGAAAACAGTGCCACCGGTTGACCGTCGCTTTGTACAGTTAAGTTTTCAGTGTCATTTTTCGTTTTCAATACTATATTATTAGCTAGTAGGTTTATGATAAAACAATTAGACTACTCGTTCTTGTTTTCTTTGAGTCTCAGCACCATTAAGGCATGGCTCTTTTGAGGAAGTGATGGAAAATCAGTTATTTATTCATATCTTTGACAGTTTACTATGAATCTTTCCCAAATTTGGCTCGTAGTAGTWATTCTTCAAGGCAAGCAATTACCGCATATCTGTTACCATGGAAACCAGGTCACGTGACCACAAGGCCGCCATCTTGGATTTTTTAAACAAATCGTTTGTAATCGTATTGAAACTACTTCAAAAGTCCTGAAAATCCATATTCCTTTTTATATTTGCAATACCTATATGGATCTAATTGAATATCTTGGAAATTATATTAAGTTTAATTTTTAGAATGTTTTCAATTTTAGTTTAAGTTAAGTTTAAGTTTGGGTAAGATTCGTAGAAAACTGGCTATGATATAGCTAAACAGTTTTTCATCTGAGAGCCATGCCTTAAAGGGGCACTTGGATGAAAATGGATAAAAATTGGAAATGACTTTATTAAACTTAGTTAAGTGTATCTATATGGCCCCAATCGTAGCCAAGCAACATATTTTCTTAACAGTAAAATGTCGCTCAGATAAAAATTATCAGTTTTATTCAGCATCTAAATTTGGAGTAAATAACGTCATTTACTCAACCCTATTGTTCTTTCTGCTTTTGGACCAAAATATCTCAATAGCAAGTGGCTCTCAGGCTAAAATGTTCACTAATCTGGTTTACATAATCATAATTGAGTCATATTTTCTTCATATACTTCAATTATTCGGACTTTCAAAAATTGGGGAGTTTTTATCCAAGTGCCCCTTTAATGATGCTGAGAATAGTCGTTTCGGCGCTACGCGCCTAATTGACTATCTATTGACTCATAGAAAACTCGACCTCGTAGTCYAATTGTTAAACTTACCTTAGTATCCATCAAGTCAACCGTAGCCATTTCATTGGACGTGAGATTAGCTGTTATTTGACCAGTAAACATGGACATTACAATAGTCCCGAGAACCATCCAAAACACTGCGAACATACGACCCCACAAAGTGCGGGTTGTTTTATCGCCGTACCTCGAAGAGAGAAACAATATATATATATATATATATATATATATATATATATATATACAGATTGTCACTGTTATACGACGATAGCACTTAAGGGGGGTCTTACCAATTTACCAGCAACGGCTGCTATGGTAACGGTTTAAATCTATTAAGGAAGTTTTTCTTACGTTTTACATTCTAATATGTGTTGTGAGGTTATCACTCCTCCATTATCAATGACGTCATATTTCATTGAAAAATAAACAGCGTGAAATTGGCGGTTTAACACAGAAATAAGCTGAATTATAGCTGAAATGAAATGGAATGAACTAGATTCTTTTTTCCATATGAAAACTGTGGCTGGTAAATATATAGTCCCCCTCCCACCCTCCCCCCTCAATAGCCAGTGGCTGACAAACTTGTGGCCCTACTTCCATGATCACTGAATTGGAAATTAAAAGTTGCTTATTTTGCGGAGGAAACCGAGGAAAAACCGAGAGAAAAACCCCAGAAGCACATTAGATAGTCAACAAACAACTTAATCTACTCACATATGCGAGTACTGGGATTAAGCTATTACCGACAGCTGTGAGGGGCGGCTTATTGTTAAGAGCATGCGCCATCTGCGTTTTTCAATAATCACACTATATGAGTTAAAGCCCAGCATGCCTAATAGATCAATATCGAAATATATCTAGCGCAATTTGCATAAACTGAAAAATTATTTGTTACAGTCGAAGGGAAGCTAATATGATGAGCAAATATGCTGAAGTAACGGAGTATCAGAAAACAAGCACCTAGGCATGTTCACCTAACGAATCAAGCCTGCCGTTCCAGTCCTCGATAGATACAAGAAAATAACTTTTAAACATCCCATTTTGCAACGCTATAGGGTTTTTTTTTTTTGTCACAGGAAAGAGGTTTTTCGGCGTTTTATTTTCGATTGGGTTATTCCTACTAGTTTCTACTAGAACAAATTAACAAAACACTTTTCAAGACAAACATTTGAAAAGCCATAATTAAGTCATAAAAACCATTTATAATTAATAGTCATAAAACTATGCACTATTACTATTAATTTTAAAGCCTTTTCAACTTTGTTCCATAATTAGGTCTTACCCCACGGTTGTCATGGTAACGAATGACCACCATATGCCAGCCAGAGCACCGTGCGGAAACTTGGCGGGGAATTCTTCGGGATTTTTTCGATGCTCCTTCACAAGAATGATTAGAAAAGTTATGTTGGATTAAAGGATTAACATACGAGCTGAGAGAATAAATACTTACAATGGCCCATACGATAAAACCTGCCAGTAAACCAAACAGCAAACAAACAGACAAAATAGGCCAAGTCTTGAAAACCATTTTGACCGTTGACATCTTTTCACTCCAAGAACCAACTTCAAACTCAACAACTGCAGGTCCCGGGGACTGGAATAACGCTAGAAATGGTCTCTGGAATTGAGTCGATTCTTTACGATTAGCAAATATGGGAAAATACAATTCTGGAGTTGTTGTTCGAAGACTGCGTCGAATTTTGATCTCCATCTCTTCAGACGAGGAAATATTCATTCTTTGATAGTTGAAGCTCATCATTGGACAGCCACATTTGTTAGAAGCACGCTGCATATAATACGGTAAATAACCGGCGGCCAGCCCCGTTTTGTTGTTGTACTCCAAGCTAAAGAACAAGAATGGCATAAGTTCTATCCAATTGATGGTGATGTTCAGAATGGAAGGACAAGAAATCGACTCGTTCAGAGCTAATGTCATGTTGCAACTGAATACAATTACCAGCAGCCTTTTGATCAACGATGGTCGTAGCATTGTTGTGTAGTTACAGCGAATAATATTCTGCTAGATTAGCAGGCATGTATATTATTTCCAACATACGTAGCTTTTAAGAAAGAGGACCTTTCTTTAAGACAGATCTGGTACATGCTTTTCACGTCATATTGGAGAGATGCCAAGATTTGCAATATGTAAATTGTCAATGTTTTGTAAAATTGATTGAGAAGGTATTATTAGTACTACATTGAACCTTAGAAAAATTAAATGAATACAATGACTAAAGTGATGTTAATACGCGTATATAGATCGTCTTGTCGGATTGGTTCTTCATAGAAGGGTGTTATTTAAATGATCTTAAATAAGTTATGAACGGCAGTTAAATGTAGATTCAACGGAGTGGTTCATTTATCGCGGAATTGTAATTTAGAAGTCGATTTTGAGGAAAACCGGAAAACCTGGAGAAAAATATTAGTACATTTATTATAAATTTAAGATGATAGTATTCAAAATACCATTCTACAGTGCTGGATAGTGCTTGAGCTTGAATTCCTAACAGGGTTTTTGATATTCATCATAATGGCAGGTGACGGGTTTGGTTAGGATTAAAGGATATTTTAAAAAAATCATTATTATTATTATTATTATCTTTATTTACAATTTGCTTACAAAATTCCTAGTTTACCGAGTCCAATCCATGGTTCTCGGGAAAACGAGAATATATTTATAATACGGGGCATAATAATAAAAAAAATCAAGTAAAAAAAAAAAAAAA